CATCCACCAAGCAGGTCACTTCGTCATAAAAAGTCTTTTACAGAATGACCACGTTCCTAAGCTGTATATTGTTAAGCTTGCAAATGCTGAATTAGATACAATTACTACAATAGAATTTTAGCAAATTTCTTACCAATTTCTTACCAAAGAACCTAAACTTCATATTTGGCATGAAGTACAGGAATAATCAAGAGAAATCACTTCTTACCAACATACATTAAGTAGTCATAGACTCCTTCTACAGTCATCATCTCCATGAAGTAGTTCTGATTTTGTCGTCGTTCTGTGTTCTCAGACCGGTTTGCATTATTCTTGAATAAATCATTGAAAAGCTAAAATACAGAAACATAAGACTGAAAACATCGCATCCAAAGGCAAAAGGACAGCCATCAGTTTGGGTTGGTTTTTAATTAGAAGCAGCCTTTTTCCAGAGCTTTCAAAGAATTAATCAGTTTTGCTGTGGTTTTTTTTGGTTTGTGGGTTTTTTGGTTTGGTCTGTTTTAAAAAACTCAACTTTCCAAAGGGGATGAGGGGAAATAACGATCGTGTCCCATGTTGCCAAGATACCCAGCAACCAAAATACTTTGATTCAGAACAGATCAGCAGGGCCACCAAGACATGAATTCATGAGCCCTATTTTTACCTAGACGTTTATCACAGGCTTTGATCCTTTGGTGCATCTCGTTCTGTCAATGAGGGGCACAAAGAACATAGAGTTTGCCAGCCTTTAATCACAGGGGAACTCGATAACATCCAAGTGTTCCTGAAATTCCCTGTTATCTTCCATTTTTAAATACATACAATGGTTTCTGGACAAAATATCCAACTTTTTACGTAGGGAAATCCCTCTGCAACCTTGATTATTTATAGCAAAAATTTCACAACTCTTTGTAAGCAACCAAAGTTTGGGTTTCTTTCCAATTATCCCATTTCTCATTTTATTCCTTTATTCTTCTATTTTCCCATGTTCCCTTCACCATGATCCCTCCATTTCCTTGCCTTTGGTTCTTCCCCAGAAATACTTGTGAAATCCCATAAGAAGCCCCATACCACCGAGGGAGTATTCCCCTGCAAAGTCTGCAGGCTCCAGCAGCTGGAAAGGAGAAGCTTTCTGAATCCTGAGGCTCTCCACATTTGACAGTATCTAGCAATTACCACTAACAGTTTATTTTAAATTGTCTTATCCCCCAAACAGGTAATCTAAAGAAGAATTTCTATAAAATACTCTGTATTATGAAAAGAAAGTTCAAAAGTTTATGCCAAGTGCCTAAAGAAAGACCCCAGAATTAGAAGCAAATGCACTATAATAACAGCCTTGCCTAGGCCGAGATGATTGCTACTGACACAATTTTTCTGTATCACTCAGAGATTAAAAATAGTCCCACGGGGCAGGAAGTAATTTGCTTATATGCGGTTCACTTTCTGGAGAAAAGGTTCTTGAAATAAATAAGGCTATAAAACACCCAAACCACAACAGGTTCTGAATCATGCAAGTCTCCAAACACAACACGCTTCATGCTTAGGGAAAACTGCATCAGGAAATCTGGCAAGACTTTGGTTTTGAATTACATCAGGAAATCTGGCAAGTTCTGCCTTGTCCTTCTCTAGGCCCCCTCTTTCGTTCAGGGCTGAGCTGCTGGCGTTATCTTCACCAAGTTCACTCCAACCAAGCACCACCAAGTCACCACACAGATTACATGACAGAGCAAACAGGGGTAATGCCCTGCTGGATGACTGCTGTCCAGGCATGTAACAAACCTAAAAAGAACACATCATTATTTATGCCTACTGTATGAAAGCGTCCCTGGTATGTTGTTTAAAAACCCTGTATAAACTGAAGTCTATATCCTCCTCAGTACTGAAACTAGGACACTGGGAAAACCCTAGTTGAACTATTGTAGCTTAAACAAGAGCCTCATTTCTTTTTTAGATACTCCCTGCGACCTGACAAGAGGCGATACGCACCGAGCCAACTCAGAGCAGCCCACTGTGCAACACAGATACAGGTTCAGAGGAGTGTGTACAGGCCAAACTAAGACATTACCAGCAGTCTGGTAGGTGATCCATAAGAAAAATATAATTCAAATGTGAAGGCATTCTTAGGGCAAAGCTTTTTGACTTCCAAAAGTTATTTCAGCTTCCACCCCAAACCAGAGGCAGTTATCTTTTGAATGGTGCAGGTACCTCTGCAAGTGGACAATGTTTTGCACCTTAAACATAATGGTTCCTTGATCACTGTCAAGCTTTGAAAGCTCAGACTCTTGCTCATCACTATTCCCATACAAGTGCGTATTCTACAGCCATCAGCAATGCACATCTGAAGGATGCAGCAGCCATAACCCAACGTGGCATTACAGCTCTACTTAGGTGTTTTGCACTTCCCAGAATTCTGGCTCAGAGGAAAGCCAACTGAAAAACATACAACTGGATATATCACAGAAACCACAGAATCTTAGGAGTTGGAAGGGACCTCAAAGATCATCCAGTCCAACCCCCCTGCCAGAGCAGGATCATCCAGACCAGGTCACACAGGAACACGTCCAGGTGGGTTTTGAATGTCTCCAGAGAAGGGACCTCTCTGGGCAGCCTGGTCAGTGCTCTGTCACCTTCACAGTAAAAAAGTTTTTCCTTATGTTCAGGTTGAACCTCCTGTGCTCCAGCTAGCACCTGTTGCTCCTTGTCCTGTCATTGGCTGTCACTGAGAAGAGCCTGGCTCCTTCCTCCTGACACTCGCCCTTTACAAATTGATAACCATGAATGAGGTCACCCCTCAGTCTTCTCTTCTCCAAGCTAAAGAGACCCAGCTCCCTCAGCTGCTCCTCATCAGGGAGATGCTCCACTCCCTCCATCATCTTTGTGGCTCTGTGCTGGACTCTTTCAAGCAATTCCCTGTCCTTCTTGAACTGAGGGGCCCAGAACTGAACACAATATTTCAAATGCAGTCTCACCAGGGCAGAGTAGAGGGGAAGGAGAACCTCTCTCAACCTACAACAACTCCCTTCTAATACACCCCAGGATGCCATTGGCCTTCCTGGCCATGAGGGCACATTGCTATATTAAAGAAGTAAAGATTATATTCACAGTTCCGATAAGCACAGGGTTTTGTTGCGCATGTTAATATTTGAGATGTGATATAATGCTGTTATGATCAGACTCAAAAAAGACATGCAAGACAAACTTCAGTGTTGTTATTATTCCTATTTTTTAAGATTAAACAGTAACTGTAACTATAACCAGGAAACACTGTTAAAAGGTTTTCAATGGGGAAATCCCATGGACTGATACTGGTTAATAATGGAAGCCAAGCTCTCAAAGTGAGTGAAAGGCCTGTATTAGGAAAAAGGCCAAAGTAATCCCCTGTACAATAGACTATCTATTGTACCTTGATGGGAAAAGCTAGCAAAATAAGTATGAATGCTTACATAAAGTGCCTAACAGAAAAAAAAAGTGACTCAGTTGTTAGTGAGTGCCTATGCAAATATACACGCCTACATTCCAGCATAGGTGTGAAGTTTATAGAAACAATACCATGATCATGAACAATATCCACAGCCAGAGGCATTCACCTCCCCACTGTTGTTCCTGCTCATTTGCAGAGTAGATGACTACACCAAAAAGGCAAGAAGAAAGAACATATGCAGTATCTGAACCACATCAGTTAGCACATTGAAAAGCAACCACCAAGTGACTGTGCAGAAACAAACATTACACCATTGGTGTTGCAGGTTTTGTTGCTGTTGGCAGCTCAGCCCAGGCCAGCAGAGCAATGCCTCTGTAGGCACATTTTGCAAAGTCTGCATCAGCTGAGAAATGCTGAGCTACTCTAGCAAGTCTGATAAAAGCATGTTCGGAAGATGACTGAGCTGCTTACAGCCCTTCAGAAGAGAAGCACAGCAGGGAAAGCCAGAAATCCCCTTGGTGTCCTCAGGAGAGGCGAGCAGGGGTTTTTGTTCGCTTGTTTGTTCTAACCAAGGAGGTTGGTAACTCTTCCAATCTAGGGGATCCAATACAGGATAAAATCCAATTGCTACTGGCTGTGCCAAGGTTGACTGCCCACGTTCATTATGCGTTTGTAACTGGAAGTGTTTCCATTGATATTTAAAATGTACAAATGTACACATGCACCAGGAATATTCAGTACAAAGCAGTATGTAGAAAATCTTTCAGAGAAGTAGGCACATTTCTGACTGAACTCAAGCTTTGACCTGCACTGATAGATTTTTCAGGCATTTCTTATTCAGAAACATCTTACGTTGATGAAGAGTGGCCTGGGTGTACCCTACTCATGGCAACAGAGTTGGCAGTGCAAGCGCTGGGGAATGAGTACTGTACTCTCAGCAGATTGCAATGAGTTGATACTGGAATAAACAGATCTGTGTCAGAAAAGGTAGAAGGGAACGCTGTGGCAATAAAAGCATCAGCTGGAAATTGACTCTAGCATTGTACCCGAAAAATTGTGCTGAAGGACTTTCTTGCTATGAGATAACACACTCTTCTCACAGATGGGCTCTCAGAAAGTGCCAGCCTTCTGTGTCTTGGGCTGCCTACCCAATCTCGTTACTGACTGCATGTATCTCACACAATCCTGGTACAGACATTTAGCATCCACCTCCGTCACCGGCTTCTCCTGGGGAAGGATGCCAGGGTACTGCACAGTGCTCGTATCTTCACAAAGACGTCACAACAGAAGCGAAACTGCAGACCTGAAAAACTGAAGTCTATGCCACATGTATTTGGGGGAGTAGAGAGGGGTGTTACCTCCATCTGACTCTGGTCTGGCCTTTGGACTGAACACCCCTTAGTGACTGCATCCCTAGATAGCATCTTCCAGCTTAGCTTCATTTGCAATAAAGTCAGTTAACGAGTTCTAGGGCAGCTTCCTAGTACGACAGAAAGTGCGATAAGCAGAGATGATCAGATTTGCTTCCAAAACGCACCACTGATCTGAACTAAAGCAGTCTGGCAGATGAAACCAGCATGGCTTACAAATCAAACCCAACAAGTGAAGATATAAATAGCACAGTGTCCTGGCACTTGGCACAAAGCTTTTCCGAAGCGTGGGCTACCTTGAGAAAGAGAAAAAACTGTCCTCCAAAGATGACACAAACACCCCAACAGATCAGCAAAGGGGATGAATTTCACAGTGTGCATGGGAAGACTCAGCAGAGAGCAGAACACAGCACAACCTGGGATATCAGATCTCCAATAATTACAGTTACCACATGAGTAAGCGTATGTGCTCTGGCTAAACTGATAGATAAGAAATTATTCAGAAGGCAGTCAGCACACAGATTCCTTATGCATACATGTTTCTGCTGATCAAAACTGGCAGTGTAATTTGAGCACAAACACACACCGAGTATCTGATCACAGAACTGCCTTGCGGCATCGCCAAAGGCAAAGCTTCTTGAGTGCCCATAATTAAATTATAGTCATAGCTCTGCAGGAGACACACTGAAGTCTGAAACTTCCCATCCATTTACAGCAAATGGCTCCCTAAAACAAAACATATTTATTTTGGGAAAGAAAAAAGAAAATATAAAATATATGTTGAACCGATTACTTATTGATAAAACAGCTAACTAGAATAAAGCTGCTTAGAAAAACTGAACTCACTTTCACAATAGATAGTGAGAAGTAGAAAGCTGGAGTTGGCCTCATTTTTTTTTTGCTCTCTGCAAAGAAACCCGCATCTCAGTGGTATAAGGAGGTTTACCCCAAGATACTATTTCTGCAAATGACATTATAAAACAGAAGGCAGTAAAGATCTACATTTTGTTTAAAGAAACTTCAGTATTCCAAAATGAGAGCCAAAGTGCAGCCAGCTCTTTGCTTTTCTGGGATCAGCACAGCTGCAGAGTGCTGGGAAAACCTCATTTCAGAGGCTGGATTTCTGTATTAATATTCTTTTACAAGAATAACATACTGACACTTCAGAGGATGAGTTTGTATTTTAACTGAGCAATGCTACGTACATTTTTTAAATCTTTAACAACCCAAAATGGCTTTGAAGATCACTTTAAAGAATTAATTTTGATCCTTTAATAAAGTCTTTCAAGCAGGCTCCAGAAAGAGCCCTGTCTTCATAGCAATGCCTCAGAGTGCAAAGCTTGTTGCTCAACTATTTTATTTAAATATGTCAAATGTATTAAAACTTGAGTAGTTCTTGACAGATCACAGGAAAAAAACAACTGTTCACACTGTGCTGTAATACGCTGTCAGCTGTTTTATAAAAAGCATTTGAAGTATTTATGCATGTACAGTTTCTAGCACAAGTCAAAATCTCTCCATCTGATTTTTAAAACTGCTGATGCATTTATACCCCTCTGAACAGACAGCAATAGAAAAATGTCTTAACCTCGGAAACAGTGTCCCTTATGGCAATAAAACAGTTCCCATCTTACACCTTTGCTTTCCCTCTTCTCTCTGTACTTCCCAGGCTCTCCACTCTGTAGCCTCTAAATCCAGTGAAAATCTAAATCTCTAAATCCAGTGAAAATTAAAAAGAAACCAAAACCCCACGAGCCACAGAAGTTCTTCAGACCAAGATATTTATAAGGCAGAAGACGACAAAGCTCTCTGCACGATTATTCACTCTCTTGTGTGAAAAGACAGCACAGAATAGGTAAGATATTTATGTTGGGGTTTTTTTCCCATTTCTTCTTTGCATTTTCAGAGCATGGTCAACTCTCCCCACTCCTGCACAGTGGGGAAGGAAGGTGACTTACTGTACCTTCTTGTTGTTTTCGGAAGTGGGACTCAAAATGGTCAGTTCAGGCCTACTGGGTTTAGGCTTGGGAGATTCGCAGGAGTTGATAAAATTCATGATGAATGGCTCCAAATGCTGACCTTTCTGAAATAAAGATATGAGTGACCCGTCACTTGCACAATCATAGAAAGGAAAACAAAATACTGAGTTTCCAAACAAAATTTTGACTAACCTGTAAGTTAGTAAGCACATGAAATTAGTTATTGAAGTTAAAATGTGGCAACCTGGAAGACTTACTCACCTCTTTCATCAGCTTTCCTGGAACAGATTTTATAATTTTACCTATAATTAGAAACAAACAAACAAAAGCTTTCTGTTATCTGTTATTTTCCTCATCTTAAAGACATTTTGCTCTGCTACATTTTATGTACTCATTGTTTAGTATTTAATTTAAAAATAAAATAGTTTTTAAATTCCGTAATTCTTTATAACTTGGCACAAAAAGCTATGAAAATAAAGTCTTCCATACATACAGCTTGTAACTTAATGCTTAGTACTCTTCAAGAAAAGATACTTAAAATATGAAAAATATACAGGTGATTATCTGAATAGTTATTTTTTTTAAAAAAGCAAAGTACTCTAGATCTGTCTTTGGAATTTTTCTAGAGGCTCAAACATAAACAGCTATAGCACCGTAACAGCAGTACTATATGACACCAGTATAGGCACAATTTTCTGTATTTAAGTTCTTTATCCTTCATTTATCACAAAAACTGTGATTCTCCTCTTTCCC